TGCAGATAAAATTATTCAAATTATCCGTGAATGGATTGAGCAATATAATACCAAAGTAAAAATTGTAAATACAGGTACCGTACTTCAAGTAGGCGATGGCATCGCTCGTATTTATGGTCTTGATGAAGTAATGGCAGGTGAATTAGTAGAATTTAAAGAGGGTACAATAAGCATTGCTTTGAATTTGGAATCCAAAAATGTTGGTGTTGTATTAATGGGTGATGGTTTGATGATACAAGAGGGAAGTTATGTAAAAGCAACAGGAATAATTGCTCAGATACCAGTAAGTGAGGGTTATTTGGGTCGTGTTGTAAATGCCCTAGCTAAACCTATTGACGGTCGAGGAGAAATTTTAGCTTCGGAATCTCGGTTAATTGAATCTCCCGCTCCCGGTATTATTTCCAGACGTTCCGTGTATGAGCCTCTTCAAACGGGACTTATTGCTATTGATTCTATGATCCCTATAGGGCGTGGCCAGCGAGAATTGATTAGTGGGGACATACAAATAGGTAAAACAGCAGTAGCTACAGATACGATTCTCAATCAACAGGGACAAAATGTAGTATGTGTTTATGTAGCTATTGGTCAAAAAGCATCTTCTGTGGCTCAAGTAGTAACTACTTTACAAGAAAGAGGAGCAATGGAATACACTATTATAGTGGCTGAAACAGAAAATTCCCCAGCTACATTACAATACCTCACGCCTTATACAGGCGCAACTCTAGCTGAATATTTTATGTACCGTGAACGTCACACTTTAATCATTTATGATGATCCCTCCAAACAAGCACAGGCTTATCGCCAAATGTCTCTTCTATTACGAAGACCACCAGGTCACGAAGCTTATCCTGGAGATGTTTTTTATTTACATTCGCGTCTTTTGGAAAGAGCCGCGAAATTAAGTTGTCAGTTAGGTGAAGGAAGTATGACTGCTTTACCAATAGTTGAGACCCAAGCCGGAGATGTTTCAGCTTATATTCCTACGAATGTCATTTCCATTACAGATGGTCAAATATTCTTATCTGCCGATTTATTCAATGCTGGGATCAGACCCGCAATTAATGTGGGGCATTCCATTTCCAGAGTTGGATCGGCGACTCAAATAAAAGCCATGAAACAAGTCGCTGGTAAATTAAAATTGGAATTAGCACAATTCGCAGAATTAGAAGCTTTTGCACAATTCTCTACCGATCTTGAGAAAACTACGCAAAATCAATTGGCAAGAGGTCAACGATTGCGCGAGTTGCTTAAACAATCCCAATCATCTCCTATTACTGTGGAAGAACAGATAATAACTATTTATACTGGAACCAATAGTTATCTTGATTCATTAGAAATTCAACAGGTAAGGAAATTTCTCGTTAAGTTACAGGCTTATTTAAAAACGAATAAACCGAAATTCAACGAAATCATTTCTTCGACCAAGACATTTACTGGGGAAGCAGAAGCCATTTTGAAGGAAGCTATTCAGGAATAGATGGAACTCTTTTTACTTCAGGAACAAGTAGAAAAAAATTGATTCCAAATTTCATACCTTTCTAGATAATTAGTCTCTTTCCATATTTCAAAAAGAATAATAAAGAGAAGAAATTCACAATATAGTTTTCGAAATATACGAATTCAAGTAATATATATGCAATTGCAATAAATTCAATATGTAATAAATTTGCGTCCAATAGGATTCGAACCTATACCAAAGGTTTAGAAGACCTCTGTCCTATCCATTAGACAATGGACGCTTTTCTTTTTTTCTTTCCCATTTCACGAAATTTTCGTGAAAAGGGAAAGAAAAAAAAAGAATTCTATAAAATACTCCTCCATCTATCTGAATATCGAAATAATAATTATTCTAAATTCTAAATAGAATAAGACGAAATGAAATCATTCCAATTGAATATTCATAACTAAAACTAACTAAAGAAATTTACTAAATAAAAAATAGAATATAATATATAGAGAAATAGAATATAAGCGGGTAGCGGGAATCGAACCGGTATCATAGCTTGGAAGGCTAAGGGTTATAGTCGACGTTTATGAATGAACGTCTCTAATTCAAAACCGAACGTGAAACTTTTGTTTCATTCAGCTCCTTTACAGAATAATTTAAGAGATAGATGGAATACATGAAAAAAAAAAGACCCATAACATCTATTTCAGCCTTTCGGTATGAATAGAATTCACGTTGCTTTTTAGATGATCCCGATAGAAAGAAAAGGAGTATTTGAACAATCTCTTTTTTTTTCTAGTTACTTCGTTCTCTATTTCTATTTGATAGAATCTTTAGAAAAAGAATAAAATTTCCGTCGAGCTAAAAAAATATATTGATGTTTCTAGTAAACTAAAAAAATCGTTTAATAGCTATTTTGCTTCACTCTCTCCTATACAAAAAAAATTTTAAAAATGGGAAGATTTAGTTACGATTGGAAACTAATTTTAGATATCTTTCTCCCTGGATCCTTTACTTATATTCAAAAATTGGGATTCTTGTGCAAAAACTTATGTTTCATAATTTTAGAATAAATTCTAAATTGTATACAAATTACGATAATGTATATTATTCCTCGAATTGCTCGTTGAGAGGTATAAAGGATGAAATCCCTAAAAGTAAGAAATGAAGTTTTTGATCGTGATATGAATCACGAAAGGGACCCCTTAACTATTAAGGGATCGTTAGAACGAATCGCACTTTTACCACTAAACTATACCCGCTACAATACCATTTTTGTATATAAAAAGATCTTTTGTCGAACAAGGGAATCAGTCATAAATAATTCTGAAATAGGTGCAGAATTTTATGATAAATAGAGTGTTTACATGTTTCGTAAAGGCCCCCTAATGAAATTTAGAAAAGGGGGCAAATCTCATTTTTGGATTTTATTTTTGGATTTTGTTGAAGGTATTTTGACAGATAGATCTCGACAAAATTACTAAACTAAATTCATAACACAAAACTGCATTATGCAATGCAAGAATCCATAGTTCTATTTCGTTTTTTAGATACGTTACCTGATTCATTAGTATGAGATACGATCACAAAGTTATTTTTATTTTTGTTTGATCATATTAAAATGTTTGAATTAATTAAAAGTTTGTTTCAAATCTGATACAGAAAAATAAATCGTTGTTATCCAGGATTCATGGGAAAAAAAAAGAGTTGTGCCAGTACCTAGCTGGACTCTGGTTGGATAAAAAAACAAACTAAAAAAGAAAATCTAAAATTATAGATTTAGATTATCTATTTAGTATAATGATTTATATCTATTTAGTATAATTATTTATTACTATCGTATTTAGTGTATATATATATATATATATATATATATATATATATATATATATATATATATATATATATATATATATATATATATATATATATATATATATATATATATATATATATATATATATATATATATATATATATATATATATATATATATATATATATATATATATATATATATATACATATATATATATATATATATATATATATATATATATATATATATATATATATATATATATATATATATATACAATTAATATATAACTCAATCTATATTTATGAGTTAATATAGAATTAGAATCAAATAGAAAAAAGATAGATAAAATATATCAAATGAAGATCCATATCAAATAAGATATATTGAAGCCTATTTTCGAGCCCTACGAGGTATCATAAGCATAATAATTCCATTCTTTGAATTGGGGAGAGATGGCTGAGTGGACTAAAGCGTCAGATTGCTAATCCGTTGTACGCATTTTTGTACCGAGGGTTCGAATCCCTCTCTTTCTGTTTATTGATGATTTTCCAGGGTTCGAATCCCTCTCTTTCCGTTTATTGATGATTTGCCATTTTTTTCTTTTGAACTTATGGAATTTTTTTTTATTCCCTGTTTGTTTCATTTTTTACTAGTTCTTTTTGACTAGTTAAAGATCAAAAATAGATAGAAAAACAAAAAATAGTTCAAAATCAAGCACAAGTAAGGAAAAGAAAAAAGATTTTCTTATTCTTCACGTCCAGGATTACGTCTGGGATCATTAGATAGAAATCCGAAGATGAAAAGAGAAACAAAGAATATCACTATCGTGTAAACAAATAGTTTTAGAGTAAGCATTACAAAATCTCCAAGATAATAAATAAAAAACGACAGAGAAAGAGAATAGATTCTCTTCTATTTCATATTATGTTTCCTTAAAAAAGTTCCAATTTGAGTTTTCTAATAAATTCTAACTTTTTTTAGGACATTATTCAAATGAAAGATCTTATCGAAAACTTACAGCAGCTTGCCAAACAAAAGCGAAGAGAAAAAAGAGTAAGGGTATTACTGGCATAAAATCTACAATTGGAGTAAAAAAAGCATAAGCTTCAGGTAATTTCCCCAAGAAAAATCTACTTGAATAAAGGACAGAGTTAATACAGACCAAGCTAAAGATATGAAGCATAAAAAAATGTTGTTCTTTAATAAAATGAATTGTATTTTTGCTTTTTTTTTTGAATTCTAATTTTTTTATTTTTTATTATCTTACTTATTATTATATATATTCTTATATATATAAGATATGATATATTATATATATTGTTTAATATCCACTTTTTTTTATACTTTTATATTAAAAATGAAATCTAAAAGAAACAAGAAATCTGGTTTAACTTGACAAAAGGAAATATCTATATAGAATAACAAATGGGGCGTGGCCAAGTGGTAAGGCAGCGGGTTTTGGTCCCGTTATTCGGAGCTTCGAATCCTCCCGTCCCAGATGATATCGATTCAATTCATCACATTGACATGAATCGATATCATAGGTTTTTCGCCATAAACCAAAAATAAAAAAGGCTGTTCTTGGGGATATATTGTTCATTCATATAACTTTCAATTACTTATTAATTAAATAAATTAATATACGAATTAAAATTAAATTTCATAACTATTCGATAAAAAACAATGACTATTCATTATATAATATTTTAATTTAAAAAGGAATAAAAATCTATGGAAAGACAAGGGTTCAATTCAATGTTGTTTACTAGAGGTATGCTGTTTACTAGAGGTTTAGAATACAGGTGTGGTTTAAGTAAATCAATAGATAGTTTTGGTCCTATTGATGAAAATAACGGTGGAGACACATCTAGTTTAATTGATATGCATAATAACATTCATAGCTGGAAGAACAATAGTGAAAATTGTAGTTATAGTCATGGTCATGCTGACTATTCAGCAGATGTGAACAACATACATAATCATAATTTGCTATTTGCAAAAAGTCTATCCGTGTGGGATAGTCATAATAATAGTTATGACATATATTATGCTTATAATGATGATAGTTGGACTTATAACATGAATTGTTGCATTTGGAATTATCTTCGTTCTCAAATCTGGGAGGATATTGACAAATCCAATGCCAGTTACCGTGATATGGACTTTAAGAGTTACATTTGCGATAGGGGCCAAAATAGTAGTGAAAGCCATAGTACAAATATAATAAATTAAGGAACAAAAATGCTAGAAATCAGACAGCAGATCCAGATGATCCAGATATATCTGATGGATCAGATATATCAGATCCATTGGAGATAGATCTATCTGATCCATCAGATACAGATTATCCATATTATATAGATGGATCTGATATATATCAGATCCATTAGAGATAGATCTATCTGATCCATCAGATACATATTATCCATATTATATAGATGGATCTGATATATCAGATCCATTGGAGATAGATCTATCTGATCCATCAGATACAGAGGAGGATCTATATGGTATATACGATCTAGATGAGATCTATTATCTGGATGGATCAGATAGATCAGGTCCATTGGAGACATCAGATCCAGATTATATAAATGATCTAGATGGATCAGATAGATCAGATCCATTGGAGACATTGGAGACATCAGATCTAGATGAGATCTATTATCCGGATGGATCAGATAGATCAGATCCATTGGAGACATTGGAGACATCAGATCCAGATTATATAAATGATCCGGATGGATCAGATAGATCAGATCCATTGGAGATATCTGATACATCAGATACAAATATATGTCAGAAGGATAGTGATGATAATAGCAAAATGGATATGCTGGCTAAAATGAACCAATATAGTCATTTATGGGTTCTATGCGAAACTTGCTCTAGCTTAAATTTTAAACAATTTTTAGTAGCCAAACTGAGTATTTGCGAATACTGTGGTGAGCATTTGAAAATGAGAAGTTCAGATAGAATTGAACTTTTGATTTATCCAGGTACTTGGAATCCTATGGATGAAGACATGGTTTCTCTGGATCCCATTAAATTTGATTCGATTGAAAAATTCCAATTCTTCAATGGGATCCCATTGCATTCGACTTGATTTTCATGGATCCTCCCGAGGAAGAGGAAAAGGAAGAAGATCAACCTTATATCGATCGTCTTGATTCTTATCAAGAAAAGACAGGATTACCAGAAGCGGTTCAAACAGGCATATGTCAACTAAATGGTATTCCTTTAGCAATAGCTGTTATGGATTCTGAGTTTATCGCGGGTAGTATGGGATCCGTAGTGGGTGAGAAAATAACTCGGTTGATCAAATATGCTACCAATCAACTTTTACCTCTAACTATAGTATGTCCTTCCGGAGGAGCGCGTATGCAAGAAGAAAGTTTGAGCTTAATGCAAATGGCTAAAATTTCTTCTGCGTTATATAATTATCAAATAAATAAAAAGTTATTCTATGTAGCGATACTTACATTAGTTTTGCGATGTTGGGGGATATTGTTATTGCGGAGCCAAACGCAACCATTGCATTTGCGGGTAAAAGAGTGATTGAACAATTGTTGAATGTGGAAGTGCCTGAAGGTTCCCAATCGGCGGACCTTTTATTCGACAAGGGAGTATTGGATTCAGTCGTACCACGTCATTTTTTAAAGCAGTTTTTAACGGGGTTATTTCAGTTCCATGGTTTCGTTCCTTTGACTAAAAATGAACTACAGGAATAGATTTATTTTTAAAAATTTGGAAGATTGAATAAAAACAATTTTAAACTTAGTTTTACGTTATTTTGCACTAAGAATCTATTTTTTATTTCCCCCTTTTTATTTTGTAACTAGTTTGTAACTAATACGTTATTTTGCACTAATTTGCACTAAGAATATATTTTTTATTTCCCCCTTTTTATTTTGTAATTTTATTTTGTAACTAGAATATGGCTCTAAAAGACTTCAAAAGATTTTTGAAAAACCTGTGGATCTGGAAAAAAAGACACTGTATTATTATTACAGTGACACATATTTTCATGCATGGAACTTACCTTTTAAGTATATTAAAAATAATAGTTCTTCTCCTAGAAAGAAGCCCATATCCGCCACACATCCTAGTGGATTTATTTATTTTATGTTTTACGGCTTTTCTTTTTAGGAATATCTTTTTCGTTTTGTTTTTTTTATTTCCTTAGAACAATTTTGGATTATTTACTTCAAATGATCCGTGAATTCATTAAGGACGAGACAAACAAAAAAGTTTTGTGTTCCTATGTGTCAGAAACTACTTGGATGGACACTATCCCGGGTTTCCAACATGTTTTTTTTAGAATCTTAAGTCATGTCAGTTTTTTTGTGGGATTCTTTGCTCTCTATCGTTTCTATAGCAATCTTACCCGGATGAACATTTTTGATGCACCGATTAAATGGCTCTTTGTGCTACCAAATAAGATTGTTTCTCTGCTTATCACTGCAATTGTCAGTATCCTAAGCGGTATCATGTTTCAATATATTAATTATTGGACTGTAATTGGCGGAACTAATTTTTTCGATAAAAGAAAAGGTGTGTTATATATTACTCGTTACAGACTTCCTATTCCTGGAATAAGTAGCTCTAATGTTCGCCGCATTTTAATAAAAGAAATTTTGTACCTCATACTAGTAACTAACCGAATCTGGGGTGATGTCCTTTATATTGAAACCAGAAAACACGGGACCTTGCCGATGACTCCTACTAAAGATGGTCGTAGATACATGCTTACAAAACATGCTTTGGAGTTGTCCAGATTCTTGAATATACCATTGGACATTATTTACAAAGAATACTAATAAAAAAGCGAGTTTAGCCGATCGAGCTTAGCCTATAAAGCGAGTTTAGCCTATAATATATTAATTATTATCGGCTAAACTCGCTTTTTTATTAGTATTTACTTGTAATAGAACTTATGCTTGATAGAAATATTAGAATATATAGAATATTCTAGAGTTGAAAAATTAGATGAAACTGAGGACGAAAAATGGCAAAAAAGAAAGCATTCATTCCCCTTCTATGTCTTACATCTATAGTCTTTTTTCCCTGGTGCATCTCTTTTACATTTAAGAAAAGTCTGGAATCTTGGATTACTAATTGGTGGAATACGAAAGAATCCGAAATTTTCTTGAATACTATTCAAGAAAAAACTATTGTAAAGAAATTCCTAGAGTTCGAGGAACTGTCCCTCATGGATGAAATGCTAAAGGAAAACCCGGAAACACATTTACAAAACCTTCGTATCGAAATCTACAAAGCGACCATCCAATTGATTGAGACGAACAACGAAGATAATATCCATACGATTTTTCATTTCTTTACAAATATAATATGTTTCCTTATTCTAAGTGTTTATTCTATTAGGGGTAATCAAGAACTCATTATTCATATCTCTTGGGTTCAAGAATTTGTATATAACTTAAGTGACACAATAAAAGCTTTTTCTATTCTTTTCTTAATTGATTTCTCTGTAGGATACCATTCGACTGGTCTTTGGGAACTAATGATTTGGTCTGTCTATAAAGATTTTGGATTTACTCCGAATGATCATATTATATCTTTTCTTGTTTCTATTTTGCCAGCCATTTTAAATATTATTTTTAAATACTGGATTTTCCGTTATTTAAATTGTGTATCTCCGTCGCTTTTATCGATTTATGATTCAATTCCATTCCGTGAATGACTGAAAAAAGGACCCACTAATTCAATTCTAAAATTTGTTTAGCTTTTATATAAAAGCTAAACATTCCAAATTTCACTTATTCATTTTCATTTTACTCGTATTCTTCCTATATTATAGGCAAATAATTGGAGTAAATAGCAGAATCATAGATAGGGAACTGTGCCAGTTCCCTACCTAATCTTATTGTAGAAATTTTCAGGATCAAGGATTGGACCATGCAAACTAGAAATGCTTTTTCTTGGATAAAGAAAGAGATTACCCGATCTATTTTCGTATTGCTCATGATCCATATAATAATTCGAGCACCCATTTCAAATGCATATCCCATTTTTGCCCAACAAGGTTATGAAAATCCTCGAGAATCTACCGGCCGGATTGTATGTGCTAATTGCCTTTTAGCTAATAAGCCCGTAGATATTGAGGTTCCACAAGCGGTACTTCCCGATACTGTATTTGAAGCAGTTGTGCGAATTCCTTATGATATGCAAGTGAAACAAGTTCTTGCTAATGGTAAAAAAGGGGCTTTGAATGTAGGAGCTATTCTTATTTTACCAGAGGGTTTTGAATTGGCCCCTCCTCATCGTCTTTCGCCCGAGATTAAAGAAAAGATGGGTAATTTGTCTTTTCAAAGCTATCGTCCCACAAAAAAAAAATTCTTGTGATAGGCCTCGTTCCCGGGAAAAAGTATAGTGAAATTACCTTTCCTATTCTTTCTCCAGATCCTGCTACTAAGAGAGATGTTTACTTCTTAAAATATCCTCTATACGTAGGTGGGAACAGGGGAAGGGGTCAGATTTATCCCGACGGAAGCTAAAGTAATAATAATGTTTATAATGCTACAACAACAGGTGTAGTAAACAAAATAATACGAAAAGAAAAAGGTGGATACGAAATAACGATAGCAGATGCATCAGATGGACGTGAAGTGATTGATATTCTACCGCCAGGACCATAACTTCTTGTTTCAGAGGGTGAATCTATCAAACTTGATCAACCATTAACGAGTAATCCTAATGTGGGTGGATTTGGTCAGGGGGATGCAGAAATAGTGCTTCAAGATCCATTACGTGTCCAAGGTCTCTTGCTTTTCTTGGCATCTATTATTTTGGCACAAATCTTTTTGGTTCTTAAAAAGAAACAATTTGAGAAGGTTCAATTGTTTGAAATGAATTTTTAGGAATTTGAATTAATCAACATATTAAGCTAGTAAAAAGAACTCCATTTTTGTTGATAAATTCTGTAAACACCCTTGGTTCTTTCTAGTTTTTGTAGATATACTATATTTAGAAAATTCCTTGTACCGTAGAATTAGTTCAGTCAAAGTATGTATATTGTGAAAAAGACTATTTGGTTCTTGGTTTTTTTTTTCCAACTGCATAATTAATTCGAACCATATGATTATGTAGCTGTTTTCGGATTTTAATGTTCTAGAAATCCTCTAATTTCTATTGTTTTAAAATTAACTCGATACTAAACCTAAAAAAATAGGTAGGTACAAAATATTAAGTAAAGTAGAAATAGACAAAGGGAAAACAGGATTCTAGGATGGATAATTTGTCTTTTCCTAGAGTGCTCTTATTGTTTATGTCGAAATAGATAGTGAAGGAATGAAAGCGGGAATTGAATTCACCAAATACAACTTTCTTAATTAACTTAAAAAAAATAGAATCATGAGTTTATATTAGAAATATATTTCTATTCCATTTCCATTCTAATAAAAAGAAAACTCTTTCTTTGGGGTAATCGATAGTAAAAGAATTGAATAGGCTCTTTTCCAATTGTTTTAGAGAACGAATCGAGATACAATAAGGATTAGATCCAATGGAACGAACGGATGCAAATAAGAGTATGCAAAAGAATCTATCTTGATTCTTTATTTTTTACTTACTAAAATGGGGGGGGGGGGGGGGGGGGAAGAAAACATAGTTCCTACCTATTAGTAGGATTCATCACCTTACTACTTCTAAGTATATTTTTTATTTATGCTTTCAATTTTTCAATTCTACTCCAAATCGGATAAGAACTTGCTAGATGTTTTAATTGGATGTTTCGTCAATGGTGTTAGGACGGAATGGAATCCTTTTTTGACTCTGTACCAGCGATTCCACTATTATTAGAAGATATTCTCCAATTTTTAGTGAAAAACTAAGAGAATACAAGAAAAATAAGTAAACAATAAAAAAAGAATTAATAAAAGAATTTCTTCATATTGATATAGATAAGAGACATAATTGACATGGATATAGTAAGTCTTGCTTGGGCTGCTTTAATGGTAGTTTTTACATTTTCCCTTTCCCTTGTAGTATGGGGAAGAAGTGGACTTTAAAGGTAATACTAATTGAGTTAAGGGATCAAACTGTCTCAATTGTTTTATAGCTGAGTTCTTCCAGTTTTGAACTATTTGAGTTATTTTATTAATACTAATTAATGAAATGCAATTCTATATGGATTTAGAAATTCTCTTGTATTGCTTCCAGTGGTGTAATATATTCCATGTATATATATTATTGAAAAAAAACTCTTTGAATCAAACAAATATTTAAATTGTTGCCATCTTGATATCCCGCGAATCAAGATAATTGGAAACAGATTCCGATTCCATTTAATCTATTTAAATTTTGGAATACTAAAAAGATTCTTTATTTTTATTTACTAGTTACCGGGATTCTGATAAAGAATCTGAAATCTAAAAATGAAACTAAGAAGAATAAAAATGGCGTTGCTTTTGAATTATTTCAGATTGATTGGAACCAATACAAATAGAATAGATTTAGATGAAATAAAGAAAAATGTGGACGCCATGGAATTTACATTCCATATATATCTATAGATCGATATACATATATCCATATGAAAAGAAAATGATAAATTGGTTCCTCCATAGGAACTCTTTTTTTTTTAGTAAAACATTATATTTTTATCCTACTCCTACCGTAATAGAGAATATAGTAGAAAGAAATATATTTGATTTCTTTCTACTATATGGTTAATAGAATTCTGCTGGTTGTAGTCTGATCATTTTATTTAAAACAAAGATTAAAAGAAATAGAAATCCTTTTTTCATGTTTTTCTTCAATCATTGCTAAGAAATAAGAAGTCATGTTTCAGTAAAATTAGTCACTTTGACTTACCGTTTTTACATAAATTATAAGTAAAAAGGCAGTAGGAACTAGAATAAAGAGTGCAGTAGCTATAAATGTGAGAATATTTACTTCCATAATCTCTATGTTTTCTTTCTCTTTAATTTCTAATAAATACTTCGGGATTTAATCCCATAGAAATAAAAAATATTTCTTCACTAAATTCAATGGTATAAATAGGATCTCGATGATATCCAATCGGATCCATATCACGAATAACTATATGTGATCTATCAAATCAATAATTCATGGTCGAGAATTGAATAGTATAACATCAGAAGATGTTTTATCCATACCAAATAAGAAAATGACTTTCTGATGCAATCCAAAAGTCCTTTTTCTTTGTCCCAACCTTTCCCTAAAACTAAAAAAGAAAAAAGGGGATACCCGTTAGAAATGATATTTTATTTTTATTTTTATTCCCTTTCATACACGAAATCCATTGATATTTTTTGGATTTGTATCCATCGGGACTGACGGGACTCGAACCCGCAGCTTCCGCCTTGACAGGGCAGTGCTCTGACGAATTGAACTACAATCCCAGGGAAAAAGTCGTATAGTATACATATATATTCTTACAATTTCATCCAAACTCTTTGTTTTTCTATTTGAGATTCAAACCCCTGGGGCTTACTTCTATATATATTCCTATTTGGACGGGTCTGCACTTTATCGACACAGATGACTCGCATTGCAATCCATTCGTTATTGCCAACTTGATTTAAAAATAAATCAATCAAGAAATCAAGGAAACAAAAAAGAGTATTTTTTGTTTTTTAAGTTTAACCCTTTCCTTAGACTTTAAACTTACAGACCCCGATAGGAATTTTTCAAAATCCTAATTTGTGGAAAAAATATGTAAGTAATATGGAAAAAACACATAGGACTCGAGATTCTAATATTGTGTATCCGAACCCATTGGTGATTTTAAGAGAACACCAAATGGGTTCTATCATTTCATGGTGGATCCGTAAATATTTTATTTTTAGGCCGAGCTGGATTTGAACCAGCGTAGACATATTGCCAACAAATTTACAGTCCGTCCCCATTAACCGCTCGGGCATCGACCTAGGAAGAATCGAATTTAGTCTTTATTGATAATCCCTGATCCATTTCCTTTCGTAGTACCCCACCCCCAGGGGAAGTCGAATCCTCGTTGCCTCCTTGAAAGAGAGATGTCCTAAACCGCTAGACGATGGGGGCAGCCTTGCCCGACCTCCATTCTACTATGTTCATAGTATGAACAATTTTTTGAAATTGTCAATAGAATGATTCGATCAGAAGGATCTTCCCATCTTTCAGAATTCCTTACAATTTTTGGATTCACCCTTTCGATTTCGAAATGGTTCATTCCAATCACCAATCTAGAATTCAACAAAATACAAAATAAAACGAAGTAATGCAAAAGAAACCAAAATAAACATAGAATCCTTTCTGGAAATAATTGATTTGCTGGAACAGGGGGGGCATTAACACCTTATTTCGTTCACTTTCATTCAGTGTTAAGAAGATTGAATTAGGTATATTTCTATTTCACACTAAGTAGGGAAATAAAAAAATGAGAATGAAACCGGAAATGGAGTAAAATCAAAAAGGATGAAGATCAATAAGAACTGAGTTAAGGGACAGGATAGAATCCATTTATCAAAGATTCGAAAATATTTGAAATAGATGTACTCAACTCATATTCACATTCATATTCATATTGGCTGATTCTGTATTCGGGAATTGACTCAAACGACGCCCTTTTAACTCAGCGGTAGAGTAACGCCATGGTAAGGCGTAAGTCATCGGTTCAAATCTGATAAAGGGCTTTTTTTTATCAAAAAATGATAACAGTAGTATTTCTATTTGAAGAAAGATATACAAATATTCTTGATATTTGTAAGTTTCTGTTTGTAATAAAATAAAAAAAACCCATGAATAGTTGAATTTCATTATAAAAAATCCAATTTAGAATTTAAACTCTATTAAGTTATTGTTATCATTCGAATAGAGTAAACTCATTCTAGTTAGAAAGGGAAATAGTATTCTTTTCTATATATATTTCTTTTTTTAGAATCAGATATTTTCTTTGCTTTAATTGTCATATACTCCTATTTTGGATTCTTCCAATCCAATAAAGGGAAAGATTCTAAAAAAAGTAAGTGGACCTAACCTATTGAATCAGAACTATATCCACTATTCTGATATTCCAATTGGTGGATAGAAATGAAATTCGACCAGTGTATCTTTTTTTCTTTTTAATACCCTTTTGGTTCGAACTCTGCAAGAATCCGTCTATATTTAGGATAATATCTTATTGTTCCTAGGAATCAATTTCTACTCCTCTCCTCCAATGGGAGGGCTTATTCTAAGTTCCAACAGACAAGTCATTTGTCTTCCCAATATCTTTTTTCCGAATACAAGAAAAGATCAAAATTGATTTCTATTATTTCTTTAAGATAGGTCTATAAAAATAGAAGATATGTTTATAAAAAGAATAGAAAAATCCATCCAATCATGACTTCGAGTATCAAACATTTGGTTTTCATATCTATGATGCATACGAGATTTTGAAGGCAATTATTGGACGAAACTTTCAGTTAGAATCTATTATTATTAATCCAATTCCCTAGAATATTCAAAAATAGGACAGATAGATAAAAAATAAATAGAGAAAAAGAGTCCAATTTATTACCTCGATCCGCAAGAAAGGGTATACGTCGGAATTAGATTAATCTGAATGACAGAAAAATAGAACAAAGAATACAATAAAAGAAATCAATGTAAAATAGAAATAAAAATAGTAAAATAGAAATTAAAAATAGGATCCTCTAGTAGTTTTCTAGACATACAAATTCGAATAATATAGAAAACTATTTTTTTTTTAATTTCACGAACAAGATTCAAAAAGAATCTTATTTGATAAAAGCAGAGTAGTATGTCTGGGGATCCGCTGGTAACGAGAGTAATAAAAGCGATCGATCATTTGTTTTTGGAATAGTTCTTTAAAAAATGTATTTCTAGGATTTATGAGTCATAAGACAATTTTCGAGTCATGACTTAGGGAATTTTGTTAGAATAGAAAGGAATAAGCCAATTAATTAAGTTAATGGATTTATTACATATCAATGGACAAAAAAAGAATTTTTCTATTCGAACCCCAGTAGAAAAGAAGGGACAGTCTACGAGAAATCATATTCTATATAAAATGAAAAAAGCCTCGAAGGTTCCATCGCTGAAAATCCTAGGAGGTGTTCGGAAATGGTTTGAAGTAGTTGAGTAGGAGGATTACTATGACTATAGCTCTTGGTAAATTTACCAAAGATCAAAATGATTTATTTGATATTATGGATGACTGGTTACGGAGGGACCGTTTTTTTTTTGTAGGTTGGTCCGGTCTATTGCTCTTTCCTTGCGCCTATTTTGTCGTGGGGGGTTGGTTCACAGGTACCACCTTTGTAACTTCATGGTATACTCGTGGATTGGCAAGTTCCTATTTGGAAGGTTGTAACTTCTTAACTGCAGCAGTCTCTACTCCTGCTAATAGTTTAACACACTCTTTGTTGATACTGTGGGGTCCTGAAGCACAGGGAGATTTGACCCGTTGGTGTCAATTAGGTGGTCTGTGGACTTTTGTTGCTCTTCACGGTGCTTTCGGATTAATAGGTTTTATGTTACGTCAATTTGAACTTGCTCGATCTGTTCAATTGCGGCCTTATAATGCAATCGCATTCTCCGGTCCAATTGATGTTTTTGTTTCTGTATTCCTGATTTATCCACTGGGCCAGTCTGGTTGGTTCTTTGCGCCTAGTTTTGGTGTAGCAGCTATATTTCGATTCATTATCTTTTTCCAAGGGTTTCATAATTAGACATTAAACCCATTTCATATGATGGGAGTTGCTGGTGTATTGGGCGCTGCCCTACTATGCGTTATTCATGGCGCTACCGTAGAAAATACCTTATTTGAAGATGGTGATGGCGTAAATACATTCCGTGCTTTTAACCCAACCCAAGCAGAAGAAACTTATTCAATGGTTACTGCTAACCGCTTTTGGTCCCAAATCTTTGGGGTTACTTTTTCCAATAAACGTTGGTTACATTTCTTTATGTTATTTGTACCGGTAACTGGTTTATGGATGAGTGCTCTTGGAGTAGTCGGTCTGGCCCTGAACCTACGTGCCTATGACTTTGTTTCTCAAGAAATCCGTGCAACGGAAGATCCTGAATTTGAGACTTTCTACACCAAAAATATTCTCTTAAACGAAGGTATTCGTGTGTGGATGGCGGCTCAAGATCAGCCTCATGAAAACCTTATATTCCCTGAGGAGATTCTACCACGTGGAAACGCTCTTTAATGGAACATTACCTTTAACTGGTCGTGACCAAGAAACAACTGGTTTTGCTTGGTGGTCCGGGAATGCCCGACTTATCAATTTATCCGGTAAACTACTGGGGGCCCATGTAGCCCATGCCGGATTAATAGTATTCTGGGCCGGAACAACGAACCTATTTGAAGTTTCTCATTTCGTACCCGAGAAGCCCATGTATGAACAAGGCTTAATTTTACTTCCCCATCTAGCTACTCTAAGTTGGGGGGTAAGTCCTGGAGGGGAAGTTGTCGACACCTTTCCATACTTTGTGTCTGGAGTACTTCACTTAATTTCCTCTGCAGTATTGGGCTTTGGCAGTATTAATCATGCACTTCTGGGACCTGAGACTCTTGAAGAATCTTTTCCATTCTTTGGTTATGTATGGAAAGATAGAAATAAAATGACTACTATTTTAGGTATTCACTTAATTTTGTTAGGTATAGGGGCTTTTCTTCTAATATTGAAGGCTTTTTATTTTGGGGGTATATATGATACCTGGGCTCCAGGAGGGGGAGATGTAAGAAAAATTACCAACTTAACCCTTAGTCCAAGCATTATATTTGGTTATTTACTAAAATCGCCTTTTGGGGGAAAAGGTTGGATTGTTAGTGTGGAGATTTGGAAGATATAATTGGGGGACATGTATGGTTGGGTTCCATTTGTATACTTGGTGGAATCTGGCATATCTTAACCAAACCCTTTGCATGGGCTCGGCGTGCACTAGTATGGTCTAGGGAAGCTTACTTATCTTATAGTTTAGGTGCTTTAGCCGTTTTTGGTTTTATAGCTTGTTGCTTTGTCTGGTTTAATAATACTGCTTATCCTAGTGATTTTTATGGTCCCACTGGACCAGAACCTTCTCAAGCTCAAGCATTTACTTTTCTAGTTAGAGACCAACGTCTTGGAGCTAATGTAGGCTCCGCTCAAGGGCCTACTGGTTTAGGTAAATATCTAATGCATTCTCCGAATGGAGAAGTCATTTTTGGAGGAGAAACTATGCGTTTTTGGGATCTGCGTGCTCCCTAGTTAGAACCTCTAAGAGGTCCTAATGGTTTGGACTTGAGTAGACTGAAAAAAGATATACAGCCTTGGCAAGAACGTCATTCCGCAAAATATATGACTAATGCTCCTTTAGGTTCTTTAAATTCCGTGGGTGGCGTAGCTACAGAAATTAAAGCAGTCAATTATGTCTCTCCTAGAAGTTGGTTAGCTACTTCTCATTTTGTTCTAGGATTCTTCCTATTCGTAGGTCATTTATGGCACGCGGGAAGAGCTCGCGCAGCTGCCGCAGGATTTGAAAAAGGAATTGATAGAGATTTGGAGCCTGTTCTTTCCATGACTCCTCTTAATTGAGACATGAAATCCAATGCTTGACGTAAGAATCACTTTGATTTTAGTATACATATTGAGTTGAGTCGAGGATATCATATTGAAAAAATATTTTCTTTTTCAATTCATTTATATCTAATCATTTTTCGGGCTCGGCCCAATAAGGCCGATACTTCGGATCCGGCTTGGACAAAACAGAAGATATTGTCGATAAATAGAAGGGCGCCCTGCTCATTGACATCTCGGAAATATTCTGCCATAGTTAGGGCAGTTAAACCAACTCTCATATGAGCTCCGGGGGTTCATTCATTTGACCATAGACTAAAGCGACTGTTGATTCCGTAATATTTTTTTCATTAATTACTCCGAATTATTTCATTTCCATATAAAGATCATTTCCCTCACGAGTACGCTCACCTACTCCGCCAAATACAGATACACCTCCATGAGCTTTGGCAATGTTATTGATCAATTCCATAATGAGTACTGTTTTACCTACCCCAGCTCCACCGAAAAGTCCCATTTTTTCGCCACGGCGATATGGAGCTAAAAGATCGACTACTTTAATTCCTGTTTCAAAAATGGATAATTGTGTATCTAACTGTATAAAGGCAGGCGCAGATCTATGAATAGGAGATGTTGTGCGAGTATCTACAGGACCCAAATTATCTATGGGTTCTCCAAGCACGTTGAAAATTCGACCTAGGGTTGCTCCGCCGACTGGAACACTTAGAGCAGCTCCTGTGTCAATCACTTCCATTCCTCTCTTTAGACCATCTTTAGCACTCATAGCTACAGCTCTAGCTCGATTATTTCCTAATAATCGCTGTACTTCACAAGTTACGCGAATTTGTTGGCCAATCATATCTCGACCTTGAACTATCAGAGCGTTGTAAATATAAGGCATCTTCCCTGGTGGAAAAATTATATCGAGTACCGGACCGATTATTTGCGTAATACGCCCCAGATTTTTGTTTTCAAGTGCAGAAACCTCAGTATCAGAAGGGGGAGGATTTATTGTCATATTGAAAAATATCCTTTTTTTTTCAAAAGAAAAATTCAAATTAAGAAAAAAATGTTCGAGAACAACGCAAGTGGATTGGTTCATTTTTTGAATATTTAATAACAAATGAAATGTATTAATTCATATTTAATAAAATATTTAATATTTAATAATAAAAAAATATGGAATAATAAATGTAATTTAATAATCGATTTTCACCATCCAATCAATTCAATTGTTTTCAAATTTCAATGATTTAACTTTTAAGGTTAACCCAGTCATCCAGATTGTAGACAATACTATCTATATTATCTATGGAATTCCAACCTGAACTTTGTTTATGATTCTGTTTTTCTATCTCATTGGTCCTTATTTTTTATTTCCTCAGCATAGGATTTATACTGAGCATATTATTTCTTTTCACCGATTTTTCTTTTTATTGGGCAAATTCTGCCGATTTTGACATCTAGGATTTACATATACAACATATATCACTGTCAAGGTCAAGAGTATATTTTTTATTTATTATTTAGATTCGAAAATTATATTCCAAAAAAAAAAAGAGATTAAAAAAAAACGGTTGGGTTGCGCCATACATATGAAAGAGTATAGAATAATGATGTATTTGCCAAATCAAATATCATGGTAAAATTTAACAATGACCCATTCGGATTAATTGATAATATTAGTTGATGGATCATTTGTAAAAAGGTTTGATTAACTCTTAAGTTATGTCGAGTAGACCTTGTTGTTGCTATAATCATTTCTTAATTCATGTGTTGTAGGGGGGGATTTATGTCACCACAAACAGAAACTAAAGCAAAGGTTGGGTTCAAAGCTGGTGTTATAAAGATTATAAATTGACTTATTATACTCATGACTATCAAACCAAAGATACTGATATCTTGGCAGCATTCCGAGTAACTCCTCAACCTGGATTTCCACCTGAAGAAGCAGGTGCAGCGGTAGCTGCAGAATCTTCCACTGGTACATGGACAACTGTGTGGACCGATGGACTTACCAGCCTTGATCGTTATAAAGGACGCTGCTACGAGATCGAGCCTGTTCCTGGAGAAGATAATCAATTTATTGCTTATGCAGCTTATCCCTTAGACCTTTTTGAAGAAGGTTCTGTTACTAACATGTTTACCTCCATTGTAGGCAATGTATTTGGGTTCAAGACCTTGCGCGCTCTACGTCTGGAAGATTTGCGAATCCCTAATGCTTATGTTAAAACTTTCCAAGGTCCTCCTCACGGAATCCAAGTTGAGAGAGATAAATTGAACAAGTATGGACGTCCCCTATTGGGATGTACTATAAAACCCAAATTGGGTTTATCAGCTAAGAATTATGGTAGAGCAGTTTATGAATGTCTCCGCGGGGGACTTGATTTTACCAAAGATGATGAAAATGTGAACTCCCAACCATTTATGCGTTGGAGAGACCGTTTCTTATTTTGTGCCAAAGCAATTTATAAATCACAGGCCGAAACAGGGGAAATCAAAGGACATTATTTGAATGCTACTGCGGGTACATGTGAAGAAATGCTAAAAAGAGCTGTATTTGCTAGAGAATTGGGCGTTCCTATCGTAATGCATGACTACTTAACAGGTGGATTCACTGCAAATACTACCCTGTCTCACTATTGCCGCGATAATGGTCTACTTCTTCATATCCACCGTGCAATGCATGCAGTTATCGATAGACAAAAAAATCATGGTATGCACTTTCGTGTATTAGCTAAAGCCTTACGTTTGTCTGGTGGAGATCATATTCACGCTGGTACTGTAGTAGGTAGACTTGAAGGAGAAAGGGAGATTACTTTAGGTTTTGTTGATTTACTACGTGATGATTATATTGAAAAAGATCAAAGTCACGGTATTTATTTCACTCAGGATTGGGTTTCTTTACCAGGTGTTATCCCTGTTGCTTCAGGGGGTATTCACGTTTGGCATATACCTGCTCTGACCGAGATATTTGGAGATGATTCTGTACTCCAATTCGGTGGAGGAACTTTAGGACACCCTTGGGGAAATGCACCTGGTGCCGTAGCGAATCGAGTAGCTCTGGAAGCATGTGTACAAGCTCGGAATGAGGGACGTGATCTTGCTCGGGAGGGTAATGCAATTATCCGTCAAGCTTGCAAATGGAGTCCTGAATTAGGTGCTGCTTGTGAAGTCTGGAAGGAAATCAAATTTGAATTCCCAGCAATGGATACTTTGTAATCCAGTAATAATAATTCGTTCTATTAATTTCCATTAAACTCGGCCCAATCTTTTACTAAAAGGATTGAGCCGAATACTGTACAGAATACTTGTTGTATCTATAAATGAATCCTATGGATCTTTCGGATTGATAGATTTTTTTCTAGTTCATTATTATTTTTTGATTTGGCATATAATGAATTAAAATAGAAGTATTTTCTATTAATATTGACAACAGTGTATCAAACCAATATAATCCGATCGTGAATAAATGGATCGATTGACTCATGTCAGATAGGTTTTTTACTTCATCAAATGGTGGATTCGTTGTATTTTTTTCTTTCATTGTAATTTAATGTCATTCATTGTAATTTAATGTAATATGTAACATAATATGTAACATTTGATTCTATTATTTATAGAATTGCATCTTTTTTTATTGCGATTGG